TTTTCCCGATCAATAACTAAAGAACCCTTAGGCCTAGGAACTTCAAACTTGGTATGGTGATTGGTCATGACCAGTAGATGACCCCTATTGATATTAGGGTTAAGGGGTCAAAGGGCAAGGTCACATTGACCTTGTAGGTAAAAATGCTTTCAAATCAATAACTTAAGAACCCTTTGGCCTAGGAACTTCAAAACATGGTATGGTGATTGGTCATGACCAGCGGATGACCTATTGAATTTTGGGGTCAAGGGGTCAAAGGTCAAGGTCACATTGACCTTGTATGTTAAAACGGTTTCCGATCAATTAACTAAAAACGCTTAGGCCTAGGAACTTCAAACTTTGTATGATGATTGGTCGTGACCAGCAGATGACCCCTATTGAGTTTTGGGTCAAGGGGTCAAAGGTTAAGGTCATGACCAGTAGGTACTTGATAACCCTTATTAATTGTTTGATCACTGGGTCAGAAGTCATGCTTAATAACCTTTTCACATGACTAATTGGCTGCTGATAGGGGGCATACATGTTTTACAAACATATCTTGTTTGGTAAGATTTGTAATAACTTAAATTGCTGCACACAACCTATGGGGTCACAATAATAATTACCTTGTGACTTGTCATGACCAGTAGATACTAGATAACCCTTATTAATTGTTTGTTCACTGGATCAGAAGTCATGCATAATAACCTGATCACATGACTAATTGGCTGCCGATAGGGGGCATACATGTTTTACAAACATATCTTGTTTACATTTTACTTTAAGGCTTTTGGAAAATTAAACAGTACAGGAATTGAAGAATCTAGGAAAATGTTCTTAGTGACAAAACCATGAAATTTCGTGCCCATGAAATTAAATGAATTCACATTACAGTTGTATATAGACAGGAGTCTTAGAATAATTTCTTGCATATAGCTATTTAAAAGCCTGCTTTTAATGTTTGATTAAGCACTGAAATAGTAATCTTCTCCATTGGGCAGTCTCTATTCTGAATAGTACATGTACTTGAAATAGTCTTTGATATAATTTTTATGCCCCCGGGCATAAAGTAATTGAACCGTCCGTCCGTCTGTCTGTCCGTCCGTCCGTACAAGGTTAACCTAGAACGGCAAGTTGGATTTTTCTTAAGTTCTACCTGTACCAATGGCTTCTAAGTTTACACACTTACTAATCAATACAAAGTACATGATCTGGGCAAGTTTCATAACTCTGGCTTTCATATTTACCAAGTTATTGTCCTTTTCAGCACTTAGAAAATGAATAATGGTTCACTTAGAAAATGAATAATGGTTAACCTAAAACGGCAAGTTGGAAATATCTTAAGTTCTATCTATACTAATGGCTTTATAATTTCCACACTTACTTATCAATACAAAGCACATGATATTGCCAAGTTATATAACTGTGTCATCCATATTTCCCAGTTATTTCCCTTCTTTTCACTTTGAAAATAGGGCCTTGTCTGGTTAACCTATTTCGGCAAGTTGGATTTATCTTAAATTTCTCCTAATTGCATAATTTCTTTACTGATTGATATCTTTCATATTTAGTAGGTGGATACCTTTGATGGTCCTCTAACTTTTTTTGGAGTAAGCAGTCTCTAGGGTCAAGGTCAAGGTCACTGGTTTAAAAAATAAATATAAACCTTTTTGCTCATACAGCCTTTATTTTTTAGTTGATGTCTTAGTTTAATACAAGCACCTCCTTTCTTTGGGTGTAGTATGGGGTCATTTGGGTCAAGGTCAATGTTACCAATGTCAAGGTCACCAATGTTAAAAATAGATTTTTACATTTTTACAGGTGTATTGACCTTATTCTATAGACAGATGTTATTTATAATTGATAGAAACATAAACTTTGATGGAGTTAGTGGTCAGTTGGGTCAAGGTTACAGATATATTTTATATTTGGTAGGAAGATAACTTGCATGGTATTCATCCTTTTGATTGGGGTAGGGATCAGTGGATCAAGGTCACTTGTGCTAAAAATAGATTTTTACACTTTTGCCCATACAGCTTTTATTTATTGACAGTTGTATTTCATATTTGGTAGGAAGATAACTTGCATGGTATTCTTCCTTTGGATGGAGTAAGGGGTCAGTTGGGTCAAGGTCACAAGTGCTAAAAATAGATTTTTACACTTTTGCCCATACAGCCTTTATTTATTGACAGATGTATTTCATATTTGGTAGGAAGATAACTTACATGGTATTCTTCTTTTGGATAGAGTTAGGGGTCAGTTTGGTCAAGGTCACCAGTGCTCAAAATAGATTTTTACACTTTTGCCCATACAGCCTTTATTTAATGACAGATGTATTTCATATTTGGTAGGAAGATAACTTGCATGAAGTTGAATATTTTTCAACTTCACAAGTCAGAGTAATGACTTGGCAACTTATATTTTTCACAATTACAAAATGCCATGACTTTGTCAAGCTATAAAACTTGTGTTTACAATTTTTTGGCGATTGTTCTGTCCATAACTGAGTGAATGATAAACATTTTTGAAGTATTGCTACTGACAAGAATCTGAGCCGGGGGCATTTGTGTTTAACAAACACGTTCTTGTTCTAGAAAGCAAAAGTTTTGAGCTTTTACATATGAAGAAGACGCTATTGTTTTGTATTTTATAACATTTTACATGAGTAAATCTTAGAATTGAATGATTTTTATGCCCCCGCCATATACATAAAATGGCTGGTGCATATAGTGTTACCCTGTTCCGTCATTATCAGTTTCCATTCACTATCTTGGTAACAGTTGCACACTTTCAACTCAAATTTGACCTTTGGATTTATCATAGGGAAATACATATCAAGTTCGATTTTGGTCATGGTCCGACGATTTTTGACAGAGTTTTGCCCCTTGTTGAAATTTTCAGTTTCTGTTCATTATCTCCCCAATAGTTGTACACATTCAACTCAGAAATGTCAAAGGAATGCGCAGGTAAAGTTCCAATTTGGTTTTGGTTCAATGATTTTTGGCAGAGTTATGCCCCTTTCACTTTGAAAAAAAAAAGAGAAAATTTTCAGTTTCCATTCATTATCTCCCCAACTGTTGTACATATTCAACTCAAATTTAACTTATGGATTTTCATAGGAATATGCTGATCAAGCTCAAATTTGGTTATGGTTCGTTGATTTTGGACAAAGTTTTCTTGAATGTTGGAAAAAATTTGAAATTTTCAGTTTTTGCTTTCTCACTTTTGTGGAAAGGCATGTGGTCATTATCTCGGCTACGAAAATGCAATATGCAATTTTCAAAAAGGTTAGCACTGAAAACTTTCATGACCTTGAACCTTTTATAAAATTGGCTTGTGTTAACATTGAATAGTTAAGGACTTTGGACTTTGAATGAAAAAAATAGTTTGTGCAAACAAATTTGGAACTAAATATTATTATAACATTTGAAATGCTGCATGCTGGGGCATCCCATGGCGTGACAACACATTTCTAGTCTTTGTTCTCATGTTGTAGATACTAGAGGAATGTAAAGATATAAAGTGGCACTTTATTGGACACTTACAGAGAAACAAAGCTAACAAAGTCACAGGTTGTTAATCCTTTTTTATCTCTCACACTTATATTGGATTTATGTTTTTTACATGACTTGTATTGTCTGATCTATAAGATGATTTTAGAAACTACATGATTATGAAAATATTGAAATACTAAGGTATAATATGTTTGTAAGTAGTAAGGATGTGTTTATTTTTGAAGTTATGGAACAAAATGCATTATGATTATCTTGACAGACCAATGAAACATTCAAAAATGGCCTAGTTTGAAATCTGAAATTAACAACATGTATATTGTACGTAAAGTTTTCCCTCTTGACAAAAATATAAGATACATGTATGTGAGAATCTTTCACAGTAAATGTACAATTTTAATATCCATAAAATTTTTACTTTAAAACGTGAATTGGCATAGTTGTGTGTATAGAGTTTTTTTGTTTGTTTGAAGACTAGATGTATAATAAAAGATTAATTCAGGGCTGGAAGTTGATCATTGGCCAGCAAAATGAATTATGGCCCTGAGGGTTTCAATATGAATGACAAAGGGATGTTGGCAGGTTTATTAATCTGTTTAGTATTGATACTCTGCTTATATAGGAATCTTTAATGATACAATCAGCGGTAATATATCATATGAGATATTAACTCTTATTAAACCTCACACATCTATTTGATATAGCTGATTGTGAAATAAGCGATTGAATGTTTTTTATAATATCAAATTTTGTTATTGTTCAGTTTTACCAAACTTGTACATGGTGGAAACAGTTGACTCTCAGAAGCTTGCTCAAACACTAAATAATAACTGGGAAAAATTTAAACGTCCAGGAAAGCTGAAAGTGATGGTACAAGTTAACACTAGTGGTGAACAAAGTAAGTTTAAACTTAAAACTAAAAAGGTTTCTTCTTGATTGATTCCCTTGTCATGTAAGGCAACTTATTTGTCATATATTTCAAGTTCCTTGACTCAAAATTGAATCCGTTACATCTGATCTCTTGTAATCATTGTAGAAAGTTAAAATTTGGTTGACATATTGATATGAGATCTTGAAAGCAGAAATTCCTCAAGAGGAAATTGACACTCACAAAAATAAGTTGATAATCTCAGATTCTACTATATTTAGTGAGAAGAAAAAAAAATAGATAATTATAAGCTTTTCAGTTTAGAAATAGTTTTGCTAGGCATAATTTTTTTTTATTGCAGATAAATCAGGGTGTGATAAAGAAACTATGGTACAATTAACTACATTTATTCGAGATAAATGCCCATGTTTAGAATTTAGCGGCATTATGACAATTGGAGCTTATGGTTACAATACTGCAGAAGGTCCAAATCCAGATTTCTTGGTAAGGGAGTATTTTCTTTCAGATAATTTTGCTTACCTGTCTTTTTTACGACACCAATTTATCCTGTTCGGTAACTTTTGGTTTTAATCCTGATAGCATTTGAAAACTATTCCTTCAGTATTGACTTGTAGATAGAACACTTTGAATTATTTGGTCAGTAGGTCAGAGGTCAAGGTTATTTTGACCTTCATCACAAAGTTTAAGTTGTTAAATTATTAATTGGAGAACACTTTGGCATACAGGCCTCTGAATTAGAGGGCAGATAGAATCTTGACTTACAAAGGTAATGTCCTTTGAAAATATGATGTTTATTCTTCAAATTTTTCTTGTTAACAAATGATAGGCATCTACTAGTATATATAAATTTTAGGGCTGTCATTGATTATCGCGATATCGATATATCATTGATATTCAACATCCGATACAATATTGATACACATTTTCAAATACCGATACAAGCTAAAATTTATTTATTTCTGTTAGAAGATATATACCTCTCAATTTTGCTTAATAAGAGAAATCACGTTTTTCCAGTTTTCTAGGCTAACTTGAACTTTAAACTCTGTTTTCAAATGTCAGTGACAAAAATAACAGGAAAAAGAAACTTTCTGTTAGTTTGTAGTATTTGTAGTCTAATACAAGCATGCATAACACCATGATCCTAATTTATAACACACATTTAAATGTTTTTCATTGTATCTATGTTAAAGTCAATATATCGATATATCGTCGATATTTGTCTCTCAATATATACCAATACAAAATTGTCCATGGATAACAGCCCTATATATAATATATGTATATGCTATATCTTCAGAGTTTAGTGAAATATAGGGAAGAACTGTGTGCAGCTTTAGGCCTAGAATTGCGTGATGTTGAGTTAAGTATGGGCATGTCAACTGATTATGAACATGCAGTGAGTATAAAAAAAGATTAAAAATGATTTATGTCTTAAATTTTAATTATAAAAGTGAAGTATTCAAGGTTAAAAATCTTACAGCAAAGAAAATATGCCAGCATATTTAACGTTACAGTGTTTGAATATATTATTATAATATTGTTAGATTTAGGAGACATTTTAGGGCTTTCTATGTTTAAATCATGGTTTTACATGACAATTTCAAGTTGCTAAAGAGAGATATTAGCATTAATGGAAGTACTATGCAGCATTTAGTCTAATCTTTGACCGAATATAGGCCTTATAGTAGTACAACATACTCTATGGTAAAAAAAGAGCATAGAATTACTATGTTTTTTATGCTTCTGTACTTTCTGCCATCTCACAACCATTTCTCATCTAGCATTTCCTTTTATTGCTTGATAATTTAGATATTTCTTGTGCTGATACCTTTTACAGATATTTATGGTTGGGTGGGCTTTCAGTTTGTTTGGATTAATGTCAAAGACATTTGAAATGAAAATAGATTTAAAATTTCCTACATTTCTCCATTGTAAAAGTTTAAGCTTTATTAAAGTGACATTTAAATCATTTCAGAAAGAGGTAGTTAATTTAAAACAAAAAATTGTAAAAGCAATTTTGATCAGAGTAAAATTTCTTTGAAATGCAATTATTTTATCATCAATGTATAAAAAATGTAGTGTTAACAATGACATTGTCAAAATTTTTGACCGGTTTTACAAATCATCATTGTACATATTTCAAATTTAGATTGAGCTTGGAAGCACAAATGTAAGAGTTGGAAGTACAATTTTTGGCGCAAGAAAAGGGCCCAATCAGCCAGTTGCAGGAAATCAGCCTCAATCTGAATCAAGCCAATCACAACCTTCCGGATCTAGTCAGTCTGATTTAAACAGCCAATCACAAGACAGATGTTCTCAGTCAGCAAATGAGAGTCCATCAGGAAACAATTTAAGCCAATCAGCGCAAAGTAGTGTAAATGAAACTGTACAAACACCAGAGGAAAGAAATTGTGATACAAATTCAAGAGACTTTTCAAGTACATTGCAAAATCTTAATTTATGCTAATACAGCCTGAGTTTTAACAGTTTTGATTTTGACTTATTATGTGTATATTTATCAAAATTGTAATTAGTGTTGCTGAGATTTTATCAATTGTCAAATAAGCGGAACAAGAATCTTCACGGGGAAATTGCACTCTTGTGTCTGGATTTAATAATAAGGTGTCTGGATTCAACAATGAACTTCTCCATTAAAACTTCTTGTCAGATTTACTTTGACCTTCTAAGTTTGTTATGTTGATACAATATCAATTGAATCATCACCATATTTAACTTTCATTAATGCTTGTATGACACCCTCTCAAGTTTGAAATAGAAATACCTTGAAAAGTCTTCTTCTCATGAGCTTGTGACTATTTAATTTTCTTCCATCCAGTTTGTGAAAATTGGTTTGTTTTCTTTTCTTTTTAATTGTCTCCTTGCTTTTTATATAGAAAATACATTTTATGTTTAACATAACACTTGATCCTTAACCTATGCATGAATTACCACCAAACTTTTTATATAGCCTCATTATGTGATCTTGACATGGTCCTCTTTCAATTTTGAGCAAATATTTGGAAGCACAAAAGCTATAAGGAATCAAAGCACAGAAGGCGCTGAATTTGTTTGGGTCTCAGAATGTAAGAAAGGTACAGGTTGTGAGATTATATGTATAGTGCCACCAATGCTTTCCAGCGTTTTCATTGTAGTAAATTGGCTATAAGACTAATTGCAACACTGATATTCAATCCAATGTTTATTTGACTTAAACAATTTGAAAAAAAAAATGAGTTGCCTTTACTGGGATTTGAACTCCAGACCTCTCGCTTCCTAAGCGAGCGCGAAAACCCTTCAGCCACGGTGAATTTATATGTGAACGGCCTAAAGAAAACCATATTATTCTAAATTAGGGTTTGTAACGACTTTAACTGTTGTTTAACACAGATGTAAATAATCCTGGAGCTTACTATAAGCATGTATATTTATAAAGAATCAAAGGGCTGCAAGTTCTGTGGTATTTTCTGATCTTTGCAATCTAAATCGTACTGTATAACTGTATGTATTTTCCTGTATAAGTTTACTTTTATGTATTATAATTCATTTTGCAAAGCACCAGAGTTTGATATATACGGAATTCTGCATAACTAGAGATGCATAAAAAAATCATTTATATACGGAATTCTGCATAACTAGAGATGCATAAAAAAATCATTTATGTTTATTTTTTACGACAGCCACACTTTATCCTTGCATATCATGGCTACTTCCTTAACAAAGACACTTAAAAAATTTTCCTCGACTGGGATTCGAACTCCAGACCTCTCACTCACAAAGCGAGCGCGTTACCCCTGCACCACGGAGAAGTTATACAAACAATGTCTGAATAACATCAAGTAATTCTAAATTTAGAACTTCTATTGCATTTCGGGTTTGTAATCCCAGGTATGTATATTAAAATACGTACCTGGTAATCCTTATTAATTTCGAGGTATTTTGTTCAGGATAAACCTATTGTTTAAAATTGTCAAAGTAAATAATTAAGCGAAAATCTTCTCACCCAAACAGTCCGACATGTAGAATCTATATACTCCACTTCTCGGTTTGTGTAGTATTCGGTAATCGACATCGCTAAAAATAGTATTTTCATTGATAAAATCATATTCATCTGCGTAATTTGTGATTTTGCATTTATTGACAATTCTATAAGCCAACGCTACTTTGAATGCGTTGTAATTTTTTGGATACTTGTAACAAAATAAAAATATTTCTTTCTTTTAAATCGCTAGTTTTAAGCTGTTTTGAGAACTACTTGTTGTTAGGTTTGTCGTAAACTTCTGTGTCAAAGATTAAATGTCCGCTTTGTATTTACTTATTTTCGATCAGAAAATACAATAAAACAATATTAGAAATCTCGACCATTCGGGAATTATTTTGGTTGAAAATTAATGCGACGGTCTTTGACCATCTTTACGCAGTGATCTCACCTGATTTTTTCGGCGTTAGTGTACATAAAAAGGGAAGTAACCGCTTCAAAAAAGTGCACTACTTTCGGCATTTGCAATTAACTACATTAGACTCTGAAATTTCGCTACCATTATTTGTTTGGTCTGACGACCCAAACAAATAAAAACCACTGATGAATTACTTCTTGAATTAAAGGATACAAATGTAGAATCAAACTTGGTACTTAAAGATTTGACTGCCACATCTTGCAAACACAATTTTACATGTATTCTTGTAAGCGAAGTAGGGCCATGATGGTCCTCCAGCTGGTTACTTGGTTATTTAGTATAATCAGGGCTTTTTCCTCTTTTTTTGTTTTTTCCCCACATTTTGGTTGAATTTTAAAAATTATTCCATCTTGTTCTTGATACAATAAAGATTGTTTGATATCATCATCTTTCTATGAAAGATACATTGTATGAATATGGATTTAGCACGGAATGTTTATGTTAACCAGTACCTGGTCCAATGAAACAGGCCTTGGAGCAGAATCAAATGAAGACGATTTGGTTTCCATTGGTATATGGAACTTCTTTTGATCATATTAGGATACAATGTAATAAAACTTGCTGATTTGCTATGGAAGAAACTCACTTTGGGATAAGATTAAGGGGTGATTTAATAACACAAATTACAATTATGACTGGATCAATTTAAGGATCAATTGACAGGTAAATTACATTATTTGGATCAACTTGAAATGTGAATATATTGTAATGTAATTATGAAATCTTCCTAAATTTTATCATCTTATGCCATTTCTGGGTTTAACTGATAACCAAGGCCATTTAAAGTCCACTTAATCTAACATTATTACAAAACACAATGGAGAAATTTTGTGAAGATTTCTATTTATAGATAATGTCCGAATTCTAAAATAAATTGCTATTTATAGACTTTGTCCTGATCCTTAAATAGATTGTTATTTATAGTTAACCCATTACTTCATGAGCATTTTGTGAAAAATGGCTGTTTTCATTGAAAAGTCTCCCGTTACAAGTTCAAATTGCTATAATACTATAAAAACTGCTTCAACACTAATCAAACTTGGCACAAATGTTGACTGGACCATTGCCCTTGCAACAACATGCTCAGGCCTCAATTTTCTGTTACCATGGCAACGAGGGGACATCTCAAAATTGCCAAAAATCACTATTTTGCGTTGATTTTTTCCATCATAATTGATTTCAAAGTGCTGCAACTTCTCAATGGATTGAGATAGAGTCAAATGCTTTTCAGCGTTGGTTACACGTTACCTTATGATCAATCTGAGGTCATTTATAGCCTCTCACAAGTCCAAAATTTTCTTGGCGATGAGGGGGACTCCGACCCCCTTCAAACCCCCCAAACAGAAGGGGGCACATCCCCCTTCTGGCAACCCCCTGATGTATCTTTTGGTTGGGGGCCGCGCCGAAAAAGTGGTCACTTTTTTAACAACATTTCTCAAACAAAAACAAGTGTTGGGGGCCTAAATAAGGCATTTTTTCACCATTTGAGACAACAAAAGGGGGGGGGGTGAAAAAGGCGTTAAAAGGCGTGTATATGAAGTAATGGGTTAACAGAAAATGATGAAAATACTTGAAATTACCCTAAATCGCGTTTTTCCATGTTTAAACATGGCCTGTCATATAAATTTGAAGAAAAATTGTTGTTTTGTAGATTTTTTTATTTTTTTCATTAACCCATTACTTCATGAGCATTTTGTGAAAAATGGCTGTTTTCATTGAAAAGTCTCCCGTTACAAGTTCAAATTGCTATAATACTATAAAAACTGCTTCAACACTAATCAAACTTGGCACAAATGTTGACTGGACCATTGCCCTTGCAACAACATGCTCAGGCTTCAATTTTCTGTTACCATGGCAACGAGGGGACATCTCAAAATTGCCAAAAATCACTATTTTGCGTTGATTTTTTCCATCAAAATTGATTTCAAAGTGCTGCAACTTCTCAATGGATTGAGATAGAGTCAAATGCCTTTCAGCGTTGGTTACACGTTACCTTATGATCAATCTGGGGTCATTTATAGCCTCTCACAAGTCCAAAATTTTCTTGGCGATGAGGGGGACTCCGCCCCCTTCAAACCCCCCAAACAGAAGGGGGCACATCCCCCTTCTGCATGGCAACCCCCTGATGTATCTTTTGGTTGGGGGCCGCGCCGAAAAAGAGGTCACTTTTTTTAACAACATTTCTCAAACAAAAACAAGTGTTGGGGGCCTAAATAAGGCATTTTCTTCACCATTTGAGACAACAAAAGGGGGGGGGGGGTGAAAAAGGCGATAAAAGGCGAATATATAACGTAATGGGTTAACAGAAAATGATGAAAATACTTGAAATTACCCTAAATCGCGTTTTTTCATGTTTAAACATGGCCTGTCATATAAATTTGAAGAAAAATTGTTGTTTTGTAGATTTTTTAATTTTTTTCATTAACCCATTACTTCATGAGCATTTTGTGAAAAATGGCTGTTTTCATTGAAAAGTCTCCCGTTACAAGTTCAAATTGCTATAATACTATAAAAACTGCTTCAACACTAATCAAACTTGGCACAAATGTTGACTGGACCATTGCCCTTGCAACAACATACTCAGGCCTCAATTTTCTGTTACCATGGCAACGAGGGGACATCTCAAAATTGCCAAAAATCACTATTTTGCGTTGATTTTTTCCATCATAATTGATTTCAAAGTGCTGCAACTTCTCAATGGATTGAGATAGAGTCAAATGCTTTTCAGCGTTGGTTACATGTTACCTTATGATCAATCTGAGGTCATTTATAGCCTCTCACAAGTCCAAAATTTTCTTGGCGATGAGGGCGACTCCGCCCCCCTTCAAACCCCCCAAACAGAAGGGGGCACATCCCCCTTCTGGCAACTCCCTGATGTATCTTTTGGTTGGGGGGCCGCGCCGAAAAAGTGGTCACTTTTTTTAACAACATTTCTCAAACAAAAACAAGTGTTGGGGGTCTAAATAAGGCATTTTTTCACCATTTGAGACAACAAAAAGGGGGGAGGGTGAAAAAGGCGTTAAAAGGCGTGTATATGAAGTAATGGGTTAATGCCTTGTTCCTTAAACATTTTTTTATAGCTTATGTTTTGTGTTAACAATATATTGTTTTAGAATAAACTGTGTTAAACATTAATAATTTCAATGTAACACAGAAAAAAAGATGTCTGTGACATCATTTTAAAGCCAGTATGTTATAAATAGTAAAATAAAATACATGCTAGTTGTTTGTTTATTTGGACCGAGTTGTGATATAAAAACTGCTCATTTTGTGATTTACTGTGGTCAGAGTATTATTTTTACAATAGTTTTATCTATTTATTTATCCTCTGATGAGTGCAGATTTGGGTATTGCCAGTAACCAGTAAAGCATGCATTTTTACTGAGTCATGTCCTTCTGTCCGACATTTTTGTCTGGAGCATATCTCAAAAAGTATTTGAGGTATCAACTTGAAACTTCATATGTGAATATATCATACTGAAGAGGAGTGCAGTGCACAAGAATGATAACTCTACCCTGCATAAATTTTGAGTTATTACCCTTTGTTATTTTTATGCCACCGCAGCATCTGCGATGCGGTGGCATATA